CCACCTGATTCACTGTTTTAACTTGCACAAATTCCTATCTATATAGTAATCTGATATCTAATTTAGATAAATTCTTGTTTTTCTTCTAGCATAATATGCTCATCTTTTTCCTAGCTCAACCTATAATTGCTATAACATTAAAAGGTGGGTCATTAAGAGAAAGGAACAATAGTTCGAATTACCATATTGTTCAGAGTATAAGATGCACTTTTTTCCCTCCTAAAAGAGGCTGAAAATTTGGGTGCGTTTTATACTCCGAATTTACTCCACCCACCCTTCGGCCTCCGCGCATCCTCTTCCTGGCTGTAGAGATTGCCACCAACAATGGCTTTGTGGTTTTGGGCTCCGTGCGTTGCGTTTTCAGCCTTCAAACATTTGAGAGCGCTTCAAGGTTGCAGGGATTGCGAAAGCATATCACTGCTGATTGCCGCCCAAAAACGCATCACATTTGGAGGCTGAAAACATGATGCGTGGTGCCCAAAATGGCTATTTATTTATTTATTTATTTATTTATTTATTTATTTATTTTACAGAATTTATATGCCGCCCTTCTCCCGAAGGACTCAGGGTGGCGAACACAGGTTAAAAACATACAATAATAAAAACCTACTAAAACCAGATTAAAATAATAAATAATAAAAACCCAAGAATGCCCTACCCCTGGGCGTCACCAGACGGCATTGCCTGGTCGACAGTACCCTGAGGAGAGCAACCCTATGGGAGCGGACAGGACGGTGGGAAGCAGGCAGGAGATGGTCCTGCAAATACCCCAGACCTAAGCCATGTAGGGCTTTATAGGTCAATACCAGCATCTTGAAGCGGATCCAGAGGACCACCGGTAGCCAGTGCAGCTCGTGCAGGAGAGGTGTTACACGGGAGTAACGAGGGGCTCCCGTAACAACCCACGCGGCTGCATTCTGGACCAGCTGGAGCCTCCAGGTGCACCTCAAGGGCAGCCCCATGTAGAGGGAGTTGCAGTATTCCAAGCGGGAGGTAACCAGGGCATGAGTGACCGTGCAAAGGGCATCATGGTCTAGAAAGGGGCGCAACTGGTGCACCAGATGCACTTGTGCGAAAGCCCCCCTGGTTCCAGCTACCTGGAACAGCTGCTGCTTTCTCTTACCCCTTCCGCGCTTCACCTGCTTTAGTCACTGGATCTCCCTCTGAAGATCAGCTGTGCTTTTGAAGCTGTTTTTCAGCCCCAACACGGTGCTTGCAAGCAAAGCGATCTTCTGCACTTTTCCCGCTTTTCTAATTGCTGCTCCCTCCGACAATCAGCTGTGCTTTAGAAGTTGTTTTTTAGCCCCAACCAGCCCCAAAACCTCAAAACCAGTGAGCGAACTAATGTGCTGAAGATGACCAGGCTAATGATGCTAGCCAGTTGAATACTTGGTAGTCAGAATTTTTTTCCCCCTATTTTCCTTCCCAAAAACTAAGGTGCGTGTTATACTCCGGTGTGTCTTATACTCCGAAAAATACGGTAGTTCCTTTTTTTTCTTTTCCCGTTGAAACTCCCAAATACGACAGTATCTCTTTTTCTTGCTGCAACCTAATTACCTAATTAACTAATTATTTGTAGGACGTATGATGTAGGCCATCAGAGAAGGAAAATAATTTGACTTGTATTGACAATAAACAAGTCAGATTATTTTCCTTTTTTCTTTATAACTCCCAGATATACTGCATATATAAAATATTTGCTGCCTGATGAAGCTGGTGACATCTTTAGTTACCCAGCCATGAGAATATTCAGATAGTGTACCATCTACAACTGTTCCTTTCCCCCACCTTCTTTAAAATCCAATTTTGAAACTGATGATATGGGACAGAAGCTGGCCTAGGAAATGTCACCTCCTTTTTCTTACTTCCATTTGAAGAGCCGGATTGCTATGACAACCACAGTCCACTTGAATCTGAAGGCTTTACCACATAAATACATTTATCTTAAAGAGTTTCCTGGGAGGATGCTTAAAATAATGCAAAATTCATTTTTCTATTATATAACATCTTTGTTCAAGGTCTTGATTTCAATCAGAAAGGTCTCATCAAGGGTTCCCAATGAGTAAGAAATAAGTTCCAGAAGTAAGAAGTCTGCAAGAGACGAGGTTTAGATCAGGTGAAAATTTATAAAATACAATGGAGAAGAACCGAAACTTCAAGATTCCATTGTCTGGACTTGCCTGTGAAATCATGACGGGAATGTATCTAACATTCACTAACATTGTACATAGGATCTGGCTGTGTACAAAATGCTAGGGATGTTTTTAAGGTTCCTCCAGCTAAACTCCTTCAGGAATTTCTGAATTCCTCGTTTTCTCTTATTGAATGCAGAATGATCAGTGTTCACTAAACTGATGAGACAACTGTTATCATTATTTTTATTAGTGGCAGTGGATGGGCTGGTTCTCTTCCCCTTCTCAGCATCCTGCCTGCCGATTTTGGCCAGGCATCTCAAGCAGAAACAGTTGAGGTTTGGCACCTCCACAACAAGCATTTCCCCTTCTTTCTCCTAAATAGAAAAAGCTTTTCAAAATCAAGCAGGAGAGGCTGACAAGAAGCAGGCCACTAGTAAGCTTTTTCAACTCAACCTCCAATTTAACTGAATTTTGTGGAAAGCAGGATTTTCCAGGTAGTAAAATTAGCATAAGGTACATCTGTTTCAAGGGCCATCTATTCTCTAAAGAAGCAAGGAGAAATTAACTAAGGACTGCCTTAAGCTTAATTTCTTTTCTGTCTCTACTGGTTAATGCTTAATGGTCTCTGATATTTTAGAGTTCCGTGTACATGTTGGGAAAAAAATGTGTGGTTTTATGCAAGTTGGAACCTTTTTACAACTGAATTTCTTTAGATTCTAGAATTTTACCCTGACTTTGCCCAGAAAATTATCTGTAATTTTCTTAGTTTTCTACAGGAAATATTTTGATGTCATAATCTGTACTCTGAACAGTCCTGCAGTTTTATCACCTTTGCTACTGAATGATTTATCTCTGGCTATTGAAAGCAAGATAAAGGAATTTTGTACATTCTCCTTTTTAATTAAGTAATCTTATTTTCTCATTGTGTGACTGATCTTCCTCCAAAAGAAGAGTCTACTTCAGAGTCAAATAAGCTTAAACCAATTCAATACCTTTACTTCAAATTATATTCATATAAATGATGATGAAAGCTTGATTACATTGGGATCCTCCTAAATAACAACTGTCAGGGTCATCTCCTACAACAATAAGTATAAACTAATAGCCAGTATTATTTTATAAAACATAGGTAATTTATATTTTTCTCCAAGAATATAGTCTCTCTCTCTGGCTACAATGAAGGCCATATTCTTCATTGTACCAAAGGGATTTGTTGAGGGGCCAGAAATGCTTCTCAAAGTTGCACAATAATTTTAACAGTAATTGACAAAAGAAGAAATGAAACAGAAATTGTATATAAACTTCACTAAAAAAATAATCCCTTGACTTTTGGAATATTGCTTTACTCTTGTGATAGTTCTATTATTTCTGCAACATTTTGAATAAAATGTAATGATTTTGTACTTCATCCCATCCATCTTATTTTTAGCTGATTCTTCTCAAGAAAAACATTTTAATTATTTTTCCTCCAGCAATTCTTGGTAGATTGTGCCATTATCTTTATAAATACATCATTTTTTTTAAAAAAAATTGCAAATTTCCAATGAATGAAAATTAGGCTTGTTATGCCAGCAGAATACTATTTTTTTTCTTATTAAATAGCAAAAGTTCCTTTATTATTTAGCTTGAACGATAAAGACAGAAAAAGTCTAATCATAAAGAAATGAAGTGTTTCTCTTTATAATAATTGTTTCCATGTGAATGCTTTTGCGAGTGCACCGGATGAATACAGGAGGATTGATTATACTGATTTTAGATGCAAACTAGCAGTAGTTAGTCTTCTACTAGCAGCTTTGTTATCAATGAGTAAGATTTCCAAGGAAACATTTTCAGGAGCCATGGAAATTTGGGCGTGTCAATGGGTACTAAACCTTACAATTATTGTCCAAAGAAGCAATCGTCAATAAATATTATGCATCCAAAGAAGCATAACCCTTAAGGAGAACTACTACAAGTAATCCTAGATTTATGATCACAGTTGGGATCAGGATTTCTGCACAATTCCACATTTCTGAACACCCACATAATTCACTTAACAACTGCAGTGATTCACCATGACAAAAATGGTTGCAAAATTAAGCAGTACTCATTTAATTTCTCTTGCTTAGCAATGAAAATTCTACTGCCAGTTGTGGTCATAAATCAAGGTCTACCTGTAATATGGGACTGAGTGCTGAGATCAGGACTGCACACAGTATTGGGGCCAAAGTAGGCCTTGTGTCCTTCTGAAGATACCATCAAATTGTGGTGGTGCAACTGATGAAAATTAACAAAGAAATATAGGACAACTATTGGTTGAACACCTTAATACCTTTAACCCAATTAAAAAGCAAACCATTATTTCTAAATTCTGCCTGCCCAGAAAATCTCAATCAGATATGCTGCAGAGGTGGTATTCAGCAGGTTCTGACCAGTTCTGGAGAACCGGTAGTGGAAATTTTGAGTAGTTCAGAGAACCGGTAAATACCACCTCTGATTGGCCCCGCCTCCATATATTCTCTGCCTCCCAAGTCCCAGCTGATAAGGAGGAAATGGGGATTTTGCAGTAACCTTCCCCTGGAGTGGGGAGAGAATGGAGATTTTACAGGATCCTTCCCCCGCCACACCCACCAAGCAACGCCCACCAAGTCATGCCACGCCCACCGAGCCACCCCCACAGAACCGGTAGTAAAAATTTTTTAATCCCATCACTGGTCTGCTGTTTTACATTATTGTCCCTAGTAGCCATTTTATATTTTAGTCCCAAAAAATATAAATGAACTCCCATCTGCCAGATGTCTGCTCATCTCGGGTGTAGAAGAATGAAGCTGAATTGTGACTTCATTTAAAAGGAAGGAAGTTTCTGGAAAATTCTACAAACCTTTTGCATTCTCGTGAATTCTCCAACTGTGCCTCACATGAAAATTTCTCAAGGATGACCTTTGGTGAGCATTATTTCCTTACTTTTTCCAAACACTCTGAAGATAAACATGCTTCTCTCTGACTATGCCCTTGTTTCTTCCAGAAGTGTTCTGTATCATCAATCATCTCAGAAAAGGAGAAGACAAGGAAGGATTACTGTTGATGCATATCTAATACCAGATGACCGGGAATGGGAAGGCTCTACTTAGGGCAAATGACATTATGACCCCCTCCCCATTTTAATCCTTCAGATCCCCTGAATTTCTTCTCAAAAATTCAGGTCTGTTCCCCCTCCTTTTAAAGGGGTTTTATAGGACAACACAGAATATTTGGGGAGAATTAAAAGAAAGAGCAGCTTTGGGAAGTTAAGAGGATCTAGAAGAGCTACTCTTTGCCAAAGTCTCATAACAATTCACTATGTAAAGTTTGGGATGTTATTTCTTTATGTCATGGATGGCCAGCTTTTTTTTTTTTTAATGTATTTTTGGCCAACAGCCTCTCTGAGAACTCCATTCAATTGCTGGATGGAAGTGGGAGGTAGAGCCAGAATAAAAATATTCAAAGTCATTCATTTATCAATAGCTCCCCTTTTTCGACATACTTTTCCTTTTTCCACAAATGAAGGCAAATATACGTGTCCTAGAATAATGTTGCAGGATCCAATTTGGGTTGGTTACCGGGACCAGAGGTTTTGTCTTCCGAGCTTTCGGACTCATGCTGAAGTCCATCTTCCTGGTTTTCCTTTTTTTCTCCTTCAGAGATTTTTCCTCCTTCGTTCTCCATGTGCCTGTTTATTATAGCTGTTCTTACCAGAAATCTTAACTTCCCTTTTGGCAGAGGGGGTCATATTAAAATGAGAGCTCTGGTGGCTCAGCAGACTAAAGCACTGTTATTAACATCCACTTACATCTGCTGCCTGCAATTACTGCAAGTTCAAATCTCACCAGGCTCAAGGTTGACTCAGCCTTCCATCCTTTCTAAGGTAGGTAAAATGAGGACCCAGATTATGGGGGCAATAAGATGACTGTATAAATATACAAAAGTATGAAGGCTATTGCTTAACACATTGTAAGCTGCCCTGAGTCTCCGGAGAAGGGCGGCATATAAATAATAATAATAATAATAATAATAATAATAATAATAATAATAATAATAATATGCACATCCAAGGGGCTCTAGGAGAGCAGCCTGTGAACCCCAACTTTATGTGCAGCTTCTCTAAAGTGAGCCCCAACAACCCACAGTAGATGTGGACTGTCAACAATTGTGAATATTCTGCTGATTTTCTGCCCAGGCCTTGTGTCAAGATCAATATGTTGTGCTAGACATGGAGATATACTGCTGCGCCTTTAACAGAGTGACCATTGCATCGAATGTGTACATACTGAGATAACTAGACAATACACATAGCCTTCCAAAAAAACCCAGATCCATTCCTAGTGTCCCTAGAAACCATACTATGGCTTAGCTTTCCAGTTAGAGACTGTACAAGAGATAACACCATGTACAAACTCAAGAGGCAACCAAAGATCTTATGATAGGCACGTTCTCCTGCCTCCACCACACAGCAAACACACCCTGTTATCACATCCTCAAGATGGTTGCTGTGTGGCAGCTGTAAACCTGCTACATTTTCTGGTATCCTTCTGGATTGTTTCTTGTAGGCCCTGGTGGAGAACCAAAAGCCTGCCTGATGTTACTGAGCTAAACACATGGTTCATGAAGAGAGATCTGAGGAACTGCTGTCCACCAATACTGTTGTGTGCTTCCACAGCATGATTCAGGCAGGGGGACTTCAACAATGACATTGTTCATAATAAAATTTGATTGTACACACACATGGGTGTATATGAATATGCAAAATGAAATGTGTAAAGAAAATATTCTTTGCCTACATATGACTGGAAAAAACACACTTCTGGAGAAAGCCAAATGGCTTGGCTTGCCAAACAATGGGAAAGGCCTAGAAAATAAATATGTAATTATGCTTTAGGATCCATTCCTCTTAATGTATTTTATAGGACTATTTCCTTTAAATACGCTCTAGACAATAATTGTCATATCTGCATATCATACCATTTTCACATTCCTTAGGCTAATCCTAAGGAATGTTTTCATTCCTTACAAGTTTTTGGCTTGTAACTTACATAACTCAGAAAATCACAGGATATTTCCCTGAAAATAAGACCCTATTTTATACTTTTTTTGAACCCTGAAATAAGTGCTTGGCCTTATTGCCATGCACTCAAAAGCCCGATTGGGTTTATTATCAGGGGATGTCTTATTTTGGGGGAAACAGGGTAGTAAAGTTTTTGTTTCACAGGTCAGACTTGTCTGTGCTCTCCTTGTTGTGGAAAAAATTCAAGAAACAGACTCCCTCTCCCTCCCTCCTTCCTTTCCTTCTCCTCCTCCCCCCTCCTCCTCCCATTCCCAACGCCTGCACCTGAGATATTCTAAACATGAATTTTGGACACCTAAAATTAATAAAATTCACCGAGATCCAAAAGACCAAGGAAAACTCTCATTAGCCCTTTGTTTATGCAAGAAACTTCTTCTTTTTAATCAAAGGCAAACTTTCCACAAATTTTCCAAACATTTGTTCAGCTACAGCTCCCATTATCCCCATCTAATACTGTTATTATTCAAGGTTCCCATAGAGGATGAGACTTGTAATCTAATGAACGGAGAAAGCATCTGGCTAGAATAGTATTGTTTAAGACGCAGCCTTAAAACCCTTACCTGCCTAAGACACCCTGGTTATTTATTGCATTGACTCAGGCTTGCATGCAGCTTCAGTTGAAAGCAACTCTGAGTAGCTTACAAGTCCAGATATAACAAAAAAAAAAGGTTAAAAGGAAGACTATAATGCAATGCTGAATGTTAACAATCACACACTCAGCAGTAGGCAATTCACAGTTTCTTCCTTGAAGGGAACAAAGATTCCAATCACATGTACACACAAACACATACTTTTGGAAGAGCCAAATTCTTAATACCTTTCCAAAATCATTCTGATTTTGGGCAGGTCCTTTTGTGGCATCAGTTAAGAAGGCCCAGTCTTGGGACCCACAACCAGCCCTCTCTTTTACTTAGATTCTTTAAAAAAAAATTACCAAACCAACAAACTTCCAGAATAACTGGTATTTTATAAATGAATCACGGTCAAGGCATGAGTTGACATTATTGTTGCAGGATATAATAACAGAATGCTGAAAGTCTGGAAGTAGACTGTCTGTAGGATGTGGTTAAAAAAAATAAATAAAGACGGCAAAATCAAGATTGTCAATAATGACAATCGAATCTGAGTTTGTTTTTCACGTGTGCACACATAGCACTAACCCATAAATCATGACTTAAACAAGCCACATTATCCTTTAGGGTTCTCCATATGCTCGTGTGTGCTCATTCAACAAACCATGATTGAAATAAACCATGTGTGAATTCTCTGGCAGCTGACCTTATGCAGTTTACCCTATTTCATCTGAACCAATCTTTGGTGAAATTCCTTTTTCTGAAGTAAGAAAGATCATGTTAAAAGAGTTATCAATTTTTTAAACATTGTCTATGACAATTAAAGATCTCAGCAGAGGTCAAAAACTTGGTAGTGTTCTCTGGACTCGGAAGGAAGCAGAATTAACCCTGGTTTACTATTTAGCTAGGAAACCCCCAGACAATATTGTATTTTGCAGCTGTTTAGGAAGCTGAAAAAAAGGCCATGGCAAACAACTTCTGGAACATCGGCAAGAAAACTGTATGTGTGTATATGGATGACTGCAGAGGCAAATGATGACATGTATGATAATGTTATCACGTAAATGGACAACTTGCATACAGTACTTTTGTGAGATGCTGGGACTCAAATATCCTGGCATGAATATAATGTCACATTTGGCATCTTGCAGTTAGTTATGAATGCCATGGATATGTCATATGTCCATTAGGTCACTAAGTAACAAGTTTGAATTAAGGAAGACTCTACTTTTAAAAGCAGTTAAAATATTGTTCACATCCAATGAAAACTAATGAGTATTTTTAAAAAACCCAAAACATAGATTTTCTTTTATCGTGAATTATTCTGCGACAGATTTATTGTTTACCCTTTTCGAAGACAATTGTTGTGCAACAAGAATGCAGTATGTATTTTTGAAGCGACTAAAGAAACAGATTGCACATTACATACGTGAAAAACAAAGCACCGGCATGTTTTTGTTCAAATGGTGACTGATTCTGTTACCGGTTTATTTATCTTAGAAATGATTCATTAACACCAAGCCAGAAATGACTGGAAGAATGTATTCAGGATGATGTATATGACCAGTGTTGTAATACAAAAAAAATACAGAATATGTTGTGGTATGTATTGGCGGCCACATGTTATTAACCTAATTAATGGCATTTCCCTTGATTAAATTAGTATTACATATGTTAAAATGAGAACTGGGGAATTTGTGCAAGAAAACCTGTAGTTATAGAATAAGATGATTCAAGAATTGGATCCTATGCCATGCTAAAGAGGAACTTGTACTTCAGAGGTAGTACAAAGGTAGTACAAGTATCTCAGAAATTCAAAATACCATGTGAACTGTCCTAAAGCAATAAATTTCATGGTTAAGTGAGCCAGTCTGGTGTAGTAGTTAAATTGCTGGCTCTAGGAACCAGGAGACATGAGTTCTAGTCCAGCCTTAGGCATGAAAGGCCTGCTGGGTGACTTTGAGCTAGTCACTCCCTCTCAGGCCAACACATCTCACAGGGTTTTGTTGTGGGGAAAACAGGAAGAAGAAAGAGATTATTTTTTATTTAATTTATATGCTGCTGATCTCTTGGTTCGGGGTGACTCTGAGTGGCTTACAACATAATACAGTAGTCCTCAACTCACAACAGTTTACTTACTGACCATTCAAAGTTACACTAAAAAAGTGACCATTTTATGACCATTTTTCACAGTTACCAGAGGTGGTCGTTAAGTCAAGGACTCCCTGTAACTGTAATTGATACAGATAGTCCTCGATTTACAACAGTTTGCTTAGTGACCATTCAAAGTTACAACTGCACTGAAACATGTGACTTATGACTGTTTTTCACAGTTACAACCTTGTAACCATGGTCACATGATCAAAATTCAGACGCTTGGTAACTGGTTCATACTTATGACCGTTGCTGTATCACAAGGTAAACGTGATCCCTTTTTGCAACTTTTTGACAAGCAAAGTCAATGGGGAACCCGATTCACTTAATAACCGGGTTACTAACTTATCAACTGCAGTGATTCACTTAACAACTGTGGCAAGAAAGGTGGTAAAATGGGGCAAAACTCACTTAACAAATGTCTCACTTAACAGAAATTTTGGGCTCACTTGTGGTCATAAGGCTAGGGCTACCTGTATGCATTATGCGTGTTCACCGCAGTGGTGGGTTTCAAAATTTTTTTACTACCGGTTCTGTGGGTGTGGCTTGGTGAGCGTGGCATGGCTTGGTGGGCGTGGCTTGGTGGGCATGGCAGGGGAAGGATACTGTAAAATCTCCATTCCCTCCCCAATCCAGGGAAAGGTTACTGCAAAATCCCCATT